TATACTGTTTATATTTATTTATTTTTTAATATTTGTAAATCTCTCATTAGTCAACAAAATATAAGAAATCGTGTAAAGTAATATATATGTAGTTATATAGCCATATTTCATAGGCATTCAATGCATAGAGGTATAATAAGAACAGTAAACCATAAAGCTGACATATATGTATATATGATACATATATATAGAAGATATTTTTGCTTGCATAGCTATTTCCAGAGTACCTTAAAGTCTGTCATAGAACGGCATGAGCGCATTGACTGCTTGCAACTGCAGTTGCAGTTGACTTTGTTGACTGTCAGTGGCTTTGTTTTAGCTGCTGCTGCTGCCTGGTTCACATGACTGGCGTGCCATCTGCCTGGAGGCCAAGTGGCAAAGAGGCAAACTTCCAGCTGACAACTGCCTCAGACTGTTTGGCTAAACTGCAGCCTACGCAGCACGCACCTCAAACCGACGACCTCCATGGGGGCAAATGGTGTGCCCACCCCCCGCACCCACACTCCCGCTTCGCTCCGCCCTCTGCTAATGTATACTTAGATGTTTGTCAGTGTTTTTTTTTCGGTCTGCTTTGTCTTACATAATCGTCACTCTAGATACCGTTAGCATTCGGTTTTTTTCTTCATCTATTATTATTACTATGTTTTTTTTTTTTTCTTGTTTCTTTCCGTTCCAAAACAACACACAATAGAACAATTGTTTAAACTGGGGGCTTTTGGCATTGCGCCAAAAAAAAAAATTGTTAGTTTAAAAAATAAATGTATAAAAAAAAACAGCAACTGAAACTGAATTTAGTTGTCGCATGAAAATTGAGTTCTCTTTAAGACAATTATGTTTATTTCTTCTGGTATTTTTTACTTTTTTGCACTTAAGGCATTCCTATTCTCTATTTTGTTTATGCCATTAGGTTAAAGTCATGACGTATATGGGAATTACCCCGGGCTATTAGAACCTGCACAGCTGTGAGAATTATGATGTGACGCATCTGGAACTGGGCTACCCGACGATCTATGGCATCAAAATCGAAATATCTAATACTTAGAGAGATATTAATAGTGTAACTCCTCTTTAGGATATAGCGAATATGCTAAAATATTAATATATTTACTATGTTAACATTATACAGAGTGTATCTAATTAATCAACAATTCTATTAGGTGGATACATAAGTTCTCTCAGTGGCCTAGTTATTTGGACAACTGATAAATAAGAATCCGGATTTGAATATTTGGGCTGTGTATTTGGATGGAATGTTGTCTTAGCCGAAGGTCTCCACTTGTTGGGTGATCGAATGCTGTGACAATGGGGCTAATTAATATCTGTTGCAAAGCTCATCAGAAAATCGGAGTATACGTATGTCAGCATAAGTGAATCGAACAGTATTTAGTTATTCAAAAATACTTAGAGTATCTCACTCACTCTAGTTCGCTCTATCTGACTGCCTTTCTCTGACTCCATCCGCATCAGATAGCCCTATCAGTAATCTCATTATTAAGCTGGCATAGATCATTGGGAATAATAAGTGCAAACATATTTATGCTTCCTTTCGTATTATTTTTTATAAACAAATATACCTATAAGTGATCCCATGGGAATTCATAAATACAAAAATATCTACTAGATTTTTTCATACATTTATTTTAAGGAATTGCATTATTAAA